CTGTGGTGAAAATCAGGCCTAGAGTTTAAGGGTGGCAGACTTGCAAAGGAGATGAAATGTGCAGCCTCCACAAGTTTGTTTTGCTAAAGTCATAGCCCTGATATCAGAGAATGACTGAGACTTGGGATGAGAAAATTTGAGTGGATGTGCTTGAGCAGCTTGAATAGCATGCCAGCCAAAGCAGCTCTTTCTCCTTTACAAGACGAGAGCAGCCTTGCCTTACCTGGAGGTCATGGCATTTTCACTTGAAGTGGATGCCTTCCATATATGACCCTTACCACCCACCTCAAGATTTAACTTGTCTTCCCCCACTGCCTTGAGAAGAATAGCTAATGTCAAGTTTCTGCTGAGAGAGAAAATATAGTCCTTGATCTGGAAAGAAATAGCCTATTTACTGAATTTTAGAACTGGCTAACAAGTATTGGCAGAAATCTGGAGAACATGTGTGGGAATAATCTTCAGCATGTCAGACCAGAGGGGGCAAAGGCTGGATAGGGAAGAGTTTATTGACATGAGAGCACTCTTATGACTCAACATTTAACATCCTGGAAAGGACATATGGTGCTAACAGGCTGTTGGGATGGCTTCATGGAACTTGGTTGTGATGGCCTACACTAAAAGAGATGGAGATGCTGAAACTGCCTTGTCAAAGTATTGAGGAAGAGGTCAGTGGTGGAGACGTAGGAATGTTAGAATGGCTTTATTCATGTTGAGAGAACCAACCTACCATTTTCCCAGGAAGGATCTAGAGAACTCTCTTTACTAAGGAAATAAAGAATGTAACTAATGAGGGTGGCACTGACATGCTTGAGAAAAATCAGTGGTACTTACATCTCGTAGGCCAAAATTCACAGTCGGATATGATACCACAGAATTGGGCTCTCTAGTATTAACTGAGATGATAGGATTCCATAATGGCAGGTGGCAGTAATAGTAATGATATCCAACCATCACTAGCAAAGTGGCAGTCAAGATCCCTGGTGAGCAGGGATCTGTGATGGTGATTAATATACCATGATGTACCTGATGCTCAAGGTAGAAGTGAGTAGACTAGAGTGTGGCTTTACTTGTAAAAGCAAAAAAAAAAAAAATGAAAGAAAGAAAAAAGCAAGAGCTGGTGAGAAGGTGATGTCAGCTATTATAAGGGAGAAGTACTTTCCTATAATTATTATTTCATGTCTATGGACCAAAAAGGAGGCCAAAGCCCTTTGAAAAATGCCACCTTTGTCACTACCTGTATATATAAAAAATACTTGCTCAGTCTTTCTCTAAAGAATCATAAGCTACTTGTCAAAGTAACTGTACAACGGAGAGAGGGGAATACCTAATCCTTTTAAAGGCTGTTGGATAGAGGGGGGAAATTGACTTGATATCAAGTGATCTAAAATGTTATCACTGTCCCTCAATTAGAGTGGGGGCTTAGGCATACCAGATAATAAACAGAGTCCAGGTTTCAGTCCATCTTATGGTAGTTTCAGCTGATCCAGATAGGTCCCTGTGGCTATTTCCCTGGTCCCTGAGTGCATACTTGGGATATTCTTAACAGCTTCACATTGGTTCCCTGACATATGGAATAAAATCCAAATGGTAGGGAGGATCAAGTAGAAATTCCTAAAATTTGTACCTTGCCACCCCAGCCAAGATAGTAAACCAGAAACAATACTGCATTGAGTAGAATTGCAGAGATTAGCATCACCTTCAAACACTTAAATGATGCAGAGGTGGTACCCTCTGCCTTCACCTGTATGCCCCTGCTAAATCACGAGGACCTTTGGAAAACAAAAGACTATCATAAACTTAACCAAGTGATAGTGCCAATTATAGCTTCTATGCCAGATATGAGACCTTCTTGGAACATACCAAAACAGCCTCTGGCATGGTATGTGACTGTTGATCTGGAAAACTTTTTTTCAATCATTAAGAATATCAAAAGTATTTATGTATACATGGGAAGGGTAGCAATGCATATTAACCTATCACAGGGTTATGTTAACTCTCCTCCTCTCTTTCACTATGTAGTCTGCAGAGATACTGTTATATTCCACAAAAGCTCATGCTAGTAACTTGTACTGGTGAATCAAGCTAATCAGATTTGGTGAAGAGGGAGTGGGAAGGATCTTACTGCCCTATAAGACACACATAAGCTAGAAAATGGACGTTTCAAATCCTTGCAGGTTTTAAGCGTTCAATGGTCTGGAGGATGCTGGGACATCCCCTCCAAGGTAAAGGACAAGTTATTGAACTTGCACCTTCTACCATTAAGAAAGAGGCATAGCATGTTGGGGATTTTGGCTTTTGGAAGCCAAATAGTGCTCTCACCTATTTATGGGGAGATTTGGAAGGCTGCCAGTTTCAAATGGAGCCCAGAGCAGAGAAGGCTGTGATATAAGGTTCAGGCTGTGATATAAACTGCCCTGTTGCTCTGCTGATTACATGACTGATTATCCACTGACACTACAGATACCTGATGCAGGACATTTTGTAGCATTTCTGGCAAACTCTAATTAAAGTTAACATCACAGATCTTAGGTTCTGGAGCAAAGTCATGCCTTTTCATTGTTTGAAAAACAGTTCCTGGCATACCTCCATACCAAACAGAAACTAAAAATCTGATATCAAGTGATTAACTAGAGCTACCCAGCATGAGGCGGATGTTATCAGATTCACCAAAACATCAGGTCAGATAGTCCCAGTAGCAATCTATCATTTGATGGAAATGATACATTTGGGATCAAACCTGATCAAGTGCAGAGGGCATGTGTAAGTTACATGGACAGGTAGCCTAGATTCCTTTATCACTTAGGTCTCTTACACTAATGCATATTCTTCAACCTATTCTTATGATCTCATGGGGAATTCCCTATCATCAGTTGTATCAGTTATTTATTGCTACAGTAATGCCATATAATAACCAAAAAAGTCCTTATGAGAATCAACAATGAAGATTATTATTCACACATCTAGGGCCTGCTGGGAATTGGCTAGGCATATGTTCTAATCTTGGCTAGGCTTGCTCACATTTTGGGCTTGGCTGCTGGATGACTGGAACAACTTAGCTCTGCTCCACATGTCTTTTGTTCTCCATCAGACTATCCCAGTTATGTTCCTATGTCAGTGGCAGGGGCACAAGAGAAGGCAAGACCAATCATCCAAGTATTTTTCAAGCCTCTGCTTGAATCACGTGTGCTAACATTCTACTGGCCCAAAGCAGAATCACATGGCTAAGTTCAGAGTCAAAAGGCGAGGCAGAATGCTCCACCCAGAGAAGGAAGGCAATGCAGAAGTATATGGCAAAAAACATGGAGATGGGGGAAGTGAAGAACTATGGCTATTTTGTGCAATACTAACATACCAAGTGACAGATAAGGAAAAATTAGGCCTTGTTCAGGGATGGACCAGCTTGATAAATTGGTGTGAGATGACAATGGCTGGCTTCTACACTATAGCCTCTCTTAGAGGGGGCAGTATAGATTACTGGTGAGGCAAAAATCTTCCTGATGGACAGAGCTTCAAATAGTGCCCTTGGTCAGCCATGTTGATAGAGAAAGACATGGCTTGAGTTAATGATTAAAAAACAGTCTTTTTGATTATGGCAAAATGTGCAGATTTTTGTATCATGGAATGTCAACTCACCTGAAAAAACAAAGATTAGGCAGATAGAGTGATTCCAATAGATTTCAGCCAGTCTTGTCTTTACCCACTCTAGGCTTGTACAATAAACCCATGAATGTAGTAATCATGGTGATAGAGATAGGAGGAGGTCATGTATGGACCCAACATCTTGTTTTTTCTCTCATTAAGGCTGCTTTAGTTACTACCACTACTGAATATGTACTCTGTCAGCAGCAGAAACCAATAATTTGGGACCATTCCTTTATCAAAACCAACTAGCTACTTGGTAGCAAGTTGTGTGCATTAATTTCCTTTCATGCTGAAGGAGGAATTAATTCATTCCTATACTAATTAATTGTACTCTTAATAGTGGCTTGCCTTCCTTTCCAGCAGTACCTCTGCTGTCATTGCTACCTAATAGTCTACAGAATTACCAACATAGTATCCTGCATTACACTGCCACGGATCAAGGAACTGTTTTATAGCTAACAAAGAACATGAATTATTAGATCCATGGTCCTACATATACAGCATTATCCAGAAGCAGTTAATCTAGTAGAACAATGAAATGGCCTTTTATAGGGTCAGCTTAGGCATCAGCTCAGATATGATATCCTGTAGGATGAAGGTCCTATTTTCCAGGATAGGATACATGCAGTATACCAATGGACAGTATATGATTCCCTGTTCCCAACTGCGAGGTGCAGGAACCAAGAGGAAGGAAATACGATTGGCCTTTCTTACCGCCATTCCCAGTGAGCTACTGTAGAATGTGTTTCCCATTCCTACCACCTTAGGCTTTGCTGGATTGGAGGTCCTGCATCCTGACAGGGTAAGGGAAATAAGCTGGTACACTTCCCCCAGGAAGCACTGTAAGGACTCCACAAAACTGAAGCTACAGATGGCAACTGGTCCTGTTGGGTTGCTCATGTCTGTGGGACAATAGGCAAGAAAGGGGAATTAATATGCTGTTTAACATGAGGAGCTAGAAATGTGACTACAAAAAGAAACAGAGAGAATATGTCTGGAACTTGGGTGATTCACTGGGGGCATGTCTTGATGTTTCCATGCCTGATGTGAACAGTGAACAAACAGTTGTGATAATCATAGCCTAAAAAGGGCAAAGTAACCAAGACCCTAGATCCCTGAAGGGATGAAGGTCTGGGCCACTCTGGCAGTCAACCAAACTAGACTAGCTGAATTTCTGGCAGAGAGCAATGAAAATCTCAAATGGCTGGTAGAGGAAAGAGATGATGAATATATTTTGGCCTTGGGTTTAGTTGTAGTAACAGAACTGTAGCTCATCTAATCTTCCTGGGTAGTCTTTTATAGACTGTTGCTGACCACCGCTTTGAAGACTCAGTGATAGAATGGACTTAGCATGGGACTCAAGCAGTTCTGAATTATTTATTTTGTTTATTCAACAACAGACATCTCTTTTGCCAAACATCACATCCCCTTGTCAACTTCTGATATCAGCCACAACTACATTTAGACAGTTCGGAACTCAGACTTACTTGTCCTTTTTTGCTAGTGAAATCCTACCACAAGTGTGAGCCATGCATTTTTCTGCTTTCTGTTCCAAGTTCTTTCTCAATGTTGGGGTAGCCTGCCTTCCCGTATAAAAGTATAGACCAGAAGTGCTGGGGATGGAAACTAGTCAATAATTATCTTATCTGTATTACATGAATATTTTGACGAGGCGTTTTGTAAACTTCTCAGGTCTTAAAGTTCATAATGGCAACCTTGATAATACATTTTTGTATGGGTTTTCTTCCTCTTGCTCTTCCTGTTCTCTTGCTTTTGCTTCCTATGATCACCTCACAAATGCCATACTTACCCTCAAGTCCTTTTCTCAGGGTCTACTTTCAGGTGGGCTAAACTAAGATGAGCACCATTAATCAAATGCATTTATATATCTTTCCATGTAAGTATTTTAGAGATTTTCTAGACTGCACACAAATAATTATTCACGAAGAATTATTTGCAAGGTGAAGTGTGGACAGCATTTTATATTAAAAATTTTTTTCTCTTCAGGCAATAAGAGTTGATGACATGATGCCTGCTCACTCTGAAACACACTGAAACTACCTTCAATTCAACTTCTATCTGATAATGTTCTAAGAATATCTGACATTTTGATAGTATATGAACTAATGAACAAGTGGTGAAAAGCTCTATATGCTAATAAATACTACCAATAAATTCCAAATTCATAATTTCTATGACATATAAGCTTCAAGTTGTCACCAAAAATTTAAATCCAATATTAGTCTCTGCCAGAAACTTCTTTAGCAATTCTTATAATACAAATGCAGTAATGCTTTTCATGCTAAAATAGTCACAAAAATTGAATAACTCACTTAGCCAAATTCACTTATTTGCATTGAGTCTATTTTTGATCACCAAACTCACACTGACTTCATTTTCAATGCTCATCACATCCTGAAGTCTCCCACCTTGGTATCTGCAGCACTAAAGGCACTTTATTTTGGTTATTCTATTTTTCAGTATTTTGGTAGATAATAAATGCTTTATTTTTTTTTAACATAAAGGGAGTTTGGTGGTAGATATATGGTCATTTGATGTTTTTATGACTAAGAGTTCAAGTTCAGGTTCTCTTATAGAATGTAAATGTATTATAGCCACACATGTATATGTAATTGTTATCAAATTAAGCTTAGTCACTAAAAGAAGATTCACTATCTGAACTTTCTTCTGTATTTTTTTCACCTTCACCATCAGGCACTGGAGCATCTGGCCTCCTGAAAGAGAAGGAAACAGTTTGGTTTTTCCAGTTGAAAAAAAGCTTTACTAACTGTAACCTAGGTTCATCCTAGAATATTGCTGTTAATAAATCCGCCAAGTCTGCGTCCTTAGCTGAGAGAGTCCCCCAGTCTCCTCCACAGCATGCTTCTCTGGCTTTTCCAGCACCCTGAGGATTATTAGTGCTATTCCTGTATGGGCCACAGTGCTGTTTTCTCTTGCCAGTCCTTACAGCATGTGCTAGTTTAGCACTTTCTGCTTCTCATTCCATGAAGACTCAACTACAGACAGAGATGAGAGATGTGGAGAGGCTGGCATGACCAGTGCTACATCTCTGTAGCCTCCAAGTATACAGGAGGCACAAAGAAAGGAAAGCTAGAAATGGAAAGAAAAGGAAAATCTTCATGTTCCAGGAAAGCTGCAGAAAGAAATTTAGAAACTGAAGAGAGTTAAAGAATGGCCATTAAGAAACATAGGCAATATGGAATTTTTGCAGGGGAGAAGAGGAGCTGGTAACAGAAGGTTTTTAATGTTTGTTGAATGTTTTCACTTATATTTTATCTTCATAGAATGAATGTAAAGAGTATGAACTGGTGAAAATAATGTCTTGGAGATTCCCTAGGTAAAACAAGGAGATGGGAGAATGATTAAACTCAACTTTGCAGGGACATATAATAAACCAAATGAAATTTTATAACAAACCAAACATTCAACTACATAAGTTCCATAGTGTTTGCTAGTAAATTATCTAATCAATATGGTAATACTATCATTCAGCCTCTATTCACTCTTACAGAGAAAATAAGTTAAGGAAGTAAAGTATACTTTTGGGGAAACTAAAAGAGAATAGAAGAATAATATAGCTGCTCTGTCTTAATAATTGAGAACTACCAGACTTATTTCTCCCTCAGGCTCCTTGATTCTTATTAAAGATTTAGGACACCAACCAATAAAAGTCTTCTTTGTCATAAATAAAATCACTGTCACTAAAATTTAAAAAAATGTACCATGCACATTTAGTTATTAAAAATTATGGCTGAGTTTTGGCTTATGGTTTTTAACATCATATCTGTCATACTACAAAACAGAAAGAAATGCTGGCATTGCTCCCCAGCAATGGGTCAAACATAAACCATTTGCTCTGCTGCAGTTTTAGATTATACCTATGAGGAAATCATATACACTCAATACAGTAAAACTTAGCTGGGTAAGGCATTTTCTAGGCTTTGACTAATACTCCATCTGCCTAAAATACTAACATGAGACCAGAGTCTTCATTGCTCTCCATAGAAGGAAGAACTCTGGAACTATTAGGCATGAATAGTGGGCACGTTTTCCAAGTAAATTTCTCTTCACTATATTTGTGATTTCTTATCACCTTTACTTTGTTCAAAAGGAAAAAAATTACCACAGGGAATTTGAATACTACATAAAAATTGTATCTATGGCAGCTCAAACAAATAAAAGAATGTATATGATACCCCTAAAATAAATGCTGCTTAAGGGTAAAAGCAGCTTAAGCCTAGAAGGAGCTGAAATTATATAATTAATTTATGTGTGTAAGCATTTTTAATACATGTGGTCATCAGAGCTGTATAGCATGGTCGTTAAGAACACATATTCTGGAGCCAGACTTATTGGATTCAAATCCCAGTCTTGCTACATATTTGGGCAACTTTGGGGAAGCTAGGTACTACTTAGGATACAACGAACTGACTGGATTACTATGATGATTAAAATTAATTATTATATGTAAAGTATGTCAAATAATATCTGGCACATAGTAAGTATATTAAATAAATCCTATCTTCTGTCATCATTGTTGTTGTCATCATCGTCGTCGTAGTCATCGTCATCATCATCATCATCATCATCACCACCACCACATACCCACAATTTTGCCAGGAACTGTGTTAGGTGCTAGAGATACAGAAATGAATAACAAGTAGTTCCTGCCCTGAAGAAACTGATATTTTAGGGGGATATTTTAGAGGCAAACAGAAGTATAAATTATTATTATACAATGTGATTTACATAAATACAGTTGTAATAACTATGGTTATGTAAAAAGAGAAAGTTAATTCATTTTATGAAGTTTGGTCAGAGAAGATTCCAGAGAAGTGGAGACACTTGTGAAGGCTTTTAGGATATAAGTAGGAGTTTCTCAGAAACAGAAAAGGTAGGAATAAGTGAGGAGGAGAGTGTTCTGAATAAAGAAAAAAATGGGAATGCATGCTGCATTTGGGAACTAGAGTATAAAGTAATTACAGTTAAAATTTGATGAAATTAGAGCATATGGTAGGAGTAATAGGTATGAGAATTTCCTTCTTTTTTTAGGATAAATAATATTCCTTTTTACGCATATATTACATTTTATTTATCCATTCACCTGTGGATGGGCCTTTGGATTCTTCCAACTTTGGGCTACTGTGAATAATGCTACTATGAACATGGTATACAAATACATGTTTGAGTCCCTGCTTTTCCTTCTTTTGGGTATATATCTAGAAGTGGAATTGCTCAACCATATGGTAATTCTGTGCTTAATTTCTTGAGGAATTGAAATACCATTTTCCATAGCAGTTATATCATCTTACATTTCCACCAACGGGGTTGGTGGGATTCCAAGGGTTCAATTTTCTTCCTGTTTTTGTCAATATGTGTTATTGTTTGTATTCATTTATTTAAAAATAAATTTTATGCTACTTTGGCTTGGAATTGCTAGGGAGACAAATGAAAAAGCATATACTAGTTCCTTTTGGGTATAAAAAAAAGAGAAAAACTTCAAGATAACCATGAGAATCAAATGAAGTAATATATATCAAATGAAAGCATTCTCTAAGTTAAAAAGCTTTATAGAAATGTCAATAATAAGACTTATAATAATACCAGCACTTCCAGCATATCCTTAGTGGGAACAAAAATTTAGCTTTTTGTCTTAGGATCAGAAGTGCTCTTTCTTGATCCTGTAATATGAGCCTTTTAGGTTGTCTTTCATGCAAAGTTTTTCTTTAATGTTTATTTATTTTTGAGAAGGAGGTGGTTAGGGGCAGAAGAAAGGGAGACAGAGGATCCAAAGAGGGCTCTGTGCTGACAGCAGAGAGCCCCATGCAGGCTTGAACTTACAAACCATGAAATCAGGACCTGAGCTTAAGATGGACTTTTAACTGACTGAGCCACCCAGGTGCCCTTCGTGCAAAGAAGTTTTAAAGATATATTTGAAAAAGTTACTACCTTAAAGTACTGGCCTAAAGTTTAGTTTCGCAAAATTGAGATGATTCACTACTAAAATTTGAAGATGAGGACTTTAAAACAGTCTATCTTAAATATATAAGTGAATCACTGAAAAAGAGTTTATCAGCAAAATACAGAAACACATATAAAGTCAGACGAACCTTCACGATGTATCATGCATGTTTTTTAAAAATCTCAATCTACGGTGGGTCAATGATAAAAAAAAAAACTCTCTAGGTTGGTAGCTACATTTTAATAAGCATACTTATATAATTTGTGGCACTAAGATTATCTAAAAAGTCTTTTTTAAAAAATTTTTTTAGTGTTTATTTTTTGAGAGAGAGAGAAAGAGAGAGAGTGCACCCACGCACGGGAGCGAGCCGGGGAGGGGCAGAGAGAGTGGAAGACACAGAATCCGAAGCAGTCTCCAGGTTCCAAGCTGTCAGCACAGGGCCCAACGCATGGCTCGGCTCGAACCCACAAGTCATGAGATCATGACCTGAGCTGAAGTCGGCTGCCCAACCAACTGAGCCACCCAGGCACCCCAAGATTATCTAAAAAGTCTTAACAAAATAAAAATTGTAGAAGTTTAGCTTTAAACTCATTACTTAGAATAATTATCTTTTAAAATAAATATAAAATTTTTTAAAACATTTATTCATTTTTTGAGAGACAGAGAGAGACAGAGTGTAAGAAGGGGAATGGCAGAGAGAGAGGGAGACACAGAATCTGAAGCAGGTTCCGGGCTCTGAGCTGTCACCACAGAGCCCAATGTGGGGCTTGAACTCACAAACTCATGAGCCCAGCTGAAGTTGGATGTTTACCAACTGAGCCCCCTAGGTGCCCCTAAAATAAGTATTTTTAAGTTACTTATTAAAGTTATTAGGCTGACTTTAACAAAAAAAATGAACAAAATTTAGAAAGGAAAGGGGAAGGAAGAACTAAACATATACAAATCAGTACTTTTTAGCTTATCAGATGCCATGTGCAAGTTCTTTTTGATACTCACCTTTCTCCCACTTATGTGAATCAAATAAGGATGTCAATCACAATCCCTGTTGCCCCCATTATTTCCCTATACCCTTCCTTGTTTCAGTCACATAATCCAGGCTTGGCCAATCATTAAGAATCTTCCCCTGGGAAGGGAGATTGATTCAAGGGAGGGCACAAGACCCAAGCAGGGCCAATGTTTCCCTAGAAATGAGGTATGCTATTCCATAGTTTATTTTGTTCAGTTAGCAAAACTAGCAATGTTAAAGTCTTGATAACTGCTAATTCCTTGTCTTCAAGCAGTAAGCTCATCTGTAGTAGGAGAGATGTGAATGATTATGCCAAGGAGTAAAGGTGGAATGGGTGCTAGGAAAGAGAGAACACCGGTCAGACAGCCAGCAAGCAATGATGACGCTGAGCCCCTAGATCCTGCCCTACTCTTTGGACCTTCTTCGCTATGTGAATCAGTAACTTCCCTTTTTGTTTAAGCTAGGTTGAGCTGGTTTTTACTATTCTGAATATGAAAAGTCCTAATATACAAATATTGTTGGTCTAATTTGTTTTCGTTAAGGAGATATTTATACTTGTGCTTAAAACCACAGCCACTTTAAGGATAAGGACACAAAAACCATATAAACATACTCTGCAAAAACATTTTTTAGTGCAGATAGTTTAAAAATATTTTTCATTTTCTTTAAACCTAAAACCATTGAATTTAAAGCAGACTGACAAAAACACTGTTAGTAAAAATATTGCTAAGTAGGAGTTTACAGGG